TTGAACCACCAGCCTTCTGGTTAGCAGTCAAGTGCCTTAGGCACTATGCTACCAGAGCTCCCATTGCCCCTTTTAGTGGGACATATTTGAGTTTTCCTTCTCTGATGGGTTTCCACCTGATAGACGTTCTGGCTTTCACAGGTTTTACTGTATGTTATACAGACCAAACATATTCTTTGCATATGTATTTCATAATAAAAATAACATTAAAAGTGAAGCTTACCAGTGAGTTGTGAGGAAAGCTGCCCTTCTAGCTCTTTGATAATTTGAATCAAATCACCTCTCCCTTGTACTTTGCCTGAAAGGCTGAAGGTAGACATACAAATGGCAGTAGCTCCCCCTTAGTGATGAGCAGGAATTCAGTAGACAGAAAGTAGATTAAGGAGATTGGTGATCCACTCTTTCCCTTGGCCCGTTTTTCTCCTTGTTTATCACAGATGTCGCCGTGGTGGACATGAGTGACGTCTCCCGACAGCCTTCCCTCTTCTACCATCTTGGAGTCCGCGAGAGCTTCAACATGGCCAACAATGTGATCCTGTACCACGACACGGATGCTGACACTGCTCTCTCATTGAAAGTAAAGGGTATTGTTCGTCTTCTCCCGAGTACTGTATTTTGAGGAAGCAGAGTCAGATCTTTATTTGAAATGTAACTGTAGCGGAAGAAGGTGGAGAAACAAAGATTTGTTGGTACACTTCCTTCCCACCACGGATTCTAGCTCAACAGACCACTTCCTGGCTATCTGTGCTATAGACATGCATTGGTCACCAGCTTGCATATTTCTAGACTTTTAAGGAAGTGAAGGGAAAAGGAAAAACAAAAACACAACCCTGTATGTTTCCACTGAAGCAAGTATACCTCTATGATTCCCTTGATGGACAGTTTGATCAAAACCTACACATCAGGGAAAAATAACTTTTCTGCTTGATTAATAATATGAAAACATTTAGCAATTGCTGAAATTGATAGAAAATTTTAGCTTAGACATAATCAGTATTTCATGTTGTTTTCCCTCAGTAAGCAAAGTAAGACTGAGAACTGCACAGCTCAGTGATTACTGAGATTTTTTTTTTTTAAATTGTGATTTGGGCGAAAGTTTACAGAGCAAATTCACTTTCCATACAGAAGCCCACATACACTTTGTCTTACGACATTGACTACACTTTCCCACAATGTAACATCTCCCCTCCCAATTCCTCCCGACAGTCACCTCTTCCCTGTGTCCTTCCCTCCTGCCCCCCGCGCTGTCTCCCTGTGCATATACAGCTCTTCTATTCTCCCGTGATTGATCTCTCCAAGGAGTGTGTCTACCTAATGTAAATGTTCAGCTCATATGCCTGTCTTTTGTTTGGCTGGAAGCCACAGGAGTGGGTTTAATTCCAGACCTGAAGGGCAACTAGGGGCCATAGTCTCTGGTTCCATCAGACTCTATTAGACCAGCAAACTGATTCCTTTTTTTTTTTTTTTTTTAAGTTTTGTTCTACATTGTTTTCCCACTCTATCCAGGATCTCCTACAGAGATCACCCTCTGAGTGGTTGGCAGTGGTAGCTGGGTGCCATCTAGTTCTTCTGGTCTCATAGTTGTATAGGCTGAGGATTGCATGGTATACGAGTTGATTGGACTAAGTGTTTCCATGAATCTTTGGTTTTCTTCATTTTCTTCTTTGATCTGGACAAGGAGAGACCTATCGTTTCTTCTGGAGGGCTGCTTGCAAGCTTTTAACATCCCAGTTGCTACTCACCAAAGTAGGATGTGCAACAATATTTTGTGTAGTATGTTATGCAAATTGAGCTTGATGTCCCCTGCGACTATGGTCCCAAGCCCACAGGTCCAACTACTCACTCCCTCTAGGTAGCTGGCTGTGGCCAAGAAGTGACTACAACCTTGCCCCTTGTCAGCTTTACTGTACGGCTGGGAATTCTCACAGAACATACCAATACACTTGTAGAATCGTTGTCTGCCAACCCTGTACATGGTCTTAAGCACACTCCCTCCTGCATAGACATACCTAATAGTTCAGCCTGCCACCCATTTATCCACCCGTATATCCATGTTTGCCTTTACTGACAATGTGACACTGTATGTGCAAAAGGGTTCATCTTTGTTGCTGTACCTCCCATGCACCTCTCTGTCTTCCTCTTCTGATTACTGAGAGTTTTAAAAATGTATTTTTGCAAGTTTGATGCAACTTTTTTGGATATTGTAGTGTTTATTTTACAAATGCTCATGTTTGTAATGTGCTTATGTCTAAGGTGAGTTATTCCAAAATTCAACTGAAATTAATGTTGCTGATGACCTTAGCATTGGTCAGAAAATCCTAGTCTGTGTCAAATATAAGATTAGTTATGTTTACAGCATTGCTCTCAACCTGGACTGCACTGGAGAATCAGTTGAAGAGCTTGTAAATATCCCAGTACTCGGGCCAAACCCCACACCGATTACATTAGAGTCTCTGGGAATCGGGATTTTTTTTTTTTTAGTGTACAGCCAGGTATGACTACTGGTTGTTCAAAGAGTCAGCCTTCATGGACACCATTTCTAAATGTCCACCATCCTCTGTATTCAAAACACTGGTATTTAAATAGTATAATTGTTTTTGATGCCAACATTGGGCATTTTGGTTTGTTTTTCTTGAGGCTGAATATTAACCAGCTGTCCGTGGTTCTGTAATGATTCGGGATTATTTTCTAGTGGAAATAGTACCTGTTTTAGATGTATAACCTGTATGTGCTATACATGATGTGCACTTTACATGGATGTGTAAATCTGTAATTACAGTATAACAATGCATTTGAAGTAATCCATGACTGTTAGTTGCCTAGGGCTGCTGTAACAAATCAACACAAAATAACAACAACAACAACAAAACCAAACTCAACTGTCATCGAGTCGATTCTGACTCATAGTGACCCCCTTTGGGTTTCTGAGGTGGTAAATCTTTCTAGAAGTAGATTGCCCAGTCTGTCTTCCATGGAATGGCCGGTGGCTTTGAACTGCCAACCTTCTGATTAGCAGTCAAATGCATTAGGCACTATGCCACACATACTAGGTGGCCTAAGAAACAGAAATGTGTGCTCTCACAGTTCTGGAGGCAGAGAGATAAAAATCAAGGTGTTGGCTTGGTTGATTGCTCCTGGAGGCTCTGAAGGAGAAGCAGTCTACGCCTTCTCCTGGGTTTTGGCGGTTCCCGGCAATCCTTGCCATTCTTTAACTTGTAGGCATATCACTCCAGTCTTGGCTTCCATCTTCACAGCCCCTTCTTTTCTCTGCGTGTGTCTATGTCTCATTCTCCCTTCCTTTCTCTTAAAAGGGATATTAGTCATTGAATTTCCCAAAACCAAACCCGCTGCCATTGAGTAGATTCTAACTCATAGTGACCCTATGGGACAGAGTAGAACTGCCCCATAGGGTTTCTGAGGCTGTCATCTTTACAGAAGCAGACTGCCACAACTTTCTCCCATGGAGCGGTTGTTGGGTTTGAACTGCCAACCTTTTGGTTAGCAGCTGAATGAATGCCTTAGCCACTGCAACACCAGAGCTCCTCATTGGATTCGGGGCCCAGCCTATCCAGTGTGCTCTAATCTTAACTAATTACATCCTCACTGACTCTGTTTCCAAATAAGGTCATGTCCTGAGGTTCCAAAGGAGCCCTCGTGGCACAGTGGGTTAAGCTCTCAGCTGCTAACCAAAAGGTGGGTGGTTTAAACCCACCAGTCCCTCGGCAGGAGAAAGATGTGGCAGTCTGCTTCTGTAAAGACACAGCCGCAGCCTTGGAAACCCTATGGGGCATCTCTACTCTGTCCCATAGGGTCTTTATGACTCAGAAACGACTCGATGGCAGCGAGTTTTCTGAGGCTCCAGGTAGACATGAATTTTGGGGAACACAAGTCTCAGTCTACTTAAATCAGTGAGAAGAAAGTTTTATTGTTGTATTTCAAATTGTAGAATAGTGTTCTAAGAAGCTGCACATCAATCTAAATTACTGAAATATTTGGGTATTGATTTTTTTTTTTTTTTCTGACGGATTTTTCATGAAGGTGAAAACGTTTGGAACGGAAAAAAAAAAAAAAAAAAAAACCCATAAAGATATGGCTTATTGTTATGGACTGAATTGTGCTCCCCCAAAATAATATGTTGAACTCCTAACTCCTGTACCTTATGGATGTGATCCTGTTTGAAAATAAGGTTTTTATTTTATGTTAATAAGGTCATACTAGAGTAGGGTGGATCCTAAACCTGATTTCCTTCTGAGTGGCATCTTATGAAAGGGAAGATGGGGTGAGATGCCACGTGGTCATGGAGGCAAATACATCTATAAGAGGCAAAGAACACCAAGGATCACCAGCAACCACCAGAAACTTGGACAGAGGCCACAGAAGGAATCAACATGGCCAACACCCTGATCTGGGCTCCTAACCTCAACAACTATGACAAATGAAATTCTGTTCTTTGAAGCCACCTACTTGGTGGTATTTTGTTATGGAAGCCCTAGGAAACTAAGACGTGTGTTAACCTACATTTTAATGAGAAATGTGACATTAGAATGTACTTTTATTCCAATTCAGTATGTTTTTTTAAATTAATTGTATCTTAGTGACACCCTCTGTCAAGTCCTATCACCTAGATACAAGTTTTAATTTTTAATAAGATGGGCAAATATTGACTAAAATGGAAATGGTAGTTTGGTGTATTTGACACCAGAAGAAGCAATCTGCATTTGTGCTAAGAAAATAGAAATCTCAGTGCATATAAACCATGTTTTGCAGGGTAGCTCTGTGAAACTGTGTTTGCTTTTTTGGACAAATGTTTTCAGTGCTTCAGTAATATAGCCAAGGGCTATGTAACCATCATGCTAAGGTAACTGGTTAAAATAGTTAGCATTAGATTTGAAGGCTGACTCTGGGGTGGCCAGTAGCCTTCATACTGATCCACTAAGAAATACTTACTGAGCATATACTGTGTGCTAGATTCCAGGCTGCAGGAGCTCTGGTAGCATGGTGCCTATGGCACTTGACTGCTAACCAGAAGGCTGGTGGTTCAAACCCATCAGCCACTCCTCGGAAGGCAGGTTGGGCAATCTACTTCCGTAGTGATACTGCCTTGGAAACCCAAGGAGGGGTCACTATGAGTCGGGTCTGACTCGACGGCACTTGACAGCAACAGAGTGCTTCCCAGGCACGTCCTCGCTATGGCTAACGATCACATCCTCTTCACCGGCAAGATGCAGTGGCCCCAAAACTTGAATCTCAGAATATCTTTTGGGCAAAAACATGGGCATTGCCATGGTGCATTTGTTTCCTAGGGCTGCCATCATAAATTCCACAAAGTGGGTGGCTGTAAGAACAGATACTACTTCAGGAGGCCAGAAGTCCAAATTGAGGGTGTTGACAGGCCCATGCTCCCCCAGAGTCTCTAGGGAAAGATCCTTCCTTGTCTCTCTTGGCTTCTGGTGGCTCCAGGTTGTAGATGAATCTTCATATGGCCATCCTGTGTCTCGTTCTCTCTGCTTTTCTGCCTCCTCTCCTCTTTTGTAAAGACACCACTCAGTTGGGATCTGCCCAACTCCAGTATGACCTCATGTCAACTGATAACATCTTCAAAGACTGTTTCTAAACAAGGGCATGTTTACAGGTACTAGGGGTTAAGACTTCAACATACCTTCTTGGAAAGCACAATGCAATCCACAGTATATGTTGTTGTTGTTATGTGCCATCGAGTGGGCCCTGACTCATAGCGACCCCTCTTGGGGTTTCCGAGGCAGTATCACTACGGAAGTAGGATTGCCCAACCTTCCTTTCTGAGG